TGTAAAAACTTCAATTGAATTTCAATAAAGTTAAAGGCATGGCCTCACCGTTAATATTAAAAAAAAAAAAAAGAATATTTACTAATATACAAATAAATATTTTTTAATTTAATTTTCAAATAACTTATTTAATTAGTTTCGCTAAGATTTCTAGTCTAAACTTAATTTCTAAATAATAATCATGAACTGATTCAAAATAAATTATAAAACTTGAATTAAATTGTACAATGATATTGAATTATCAAATATACAAATCTACACTTTCCAAACTCAACTAATATAGATTTAAAATTTATTATAAAAAGTTATTACATTAGCTGTAATTGGATTTATAAACTAATCTGAATTCATGAACCAACAATAAATGACTAGCGTTCTAAAACAAACTACCTAACTAATATAAATTTAAAAGTTCACGTCGTTATACTGTAGTAAGCTTCAGGATTATAAACGAATGAACCAAATTGACAAATAAATAAATAATTCGATTGAGGCTATAAAAGATGTAGAAATTTAAATTATACTCACGAGTTAAATAACAAAAAGAACCAGTTCGCCAAAATACATATTATTCTTGTTATAGTGAACTCTTGACATAATAAAGAGCTTCGAATTACAGATATAAATAAGTTACAGTAAAGATTTGTTCCCAGCTTGAGGATTTCGTTATAATGTGAGTAAGTTGTAGTCATTTGTTTATCGTATTTTCTTGAAGTTCTACATATAAGACTATCTCTATTTTGTGTCGAAATATAATGACAAATGAATAGAAAAGGAAGTATATAGTTAGCTTTCTAGAATGAACTATCAGTATGTATAGTAAAGCTTTTAAAAATTCTTTATAAAAGTAATTTACTATGTTCCTATATAAATTTGGTAAAAAAAAAATTCGTTATAGAGTAGGTTCGTTATAAAATAAAAAGGTTCAATGTAAAGAGAATCGATTGTTTACTTTGCATAGATCAATGAGATCAGGAGGTCGGCATATCACATGGCTGCGCTCTCTATTGGTGGTTAACCCAAACCCGATAGTTTCGTCAAATGCCAAATCCCAAATTGACGAAAATAGTTTGGGATTTTGCCGTAACAAAGTCCCAAATAGCAATAATATTTTCTTTCCGCTATTTGAGTGACATTAACTCTGATGAAAATTTTTGTCATCATACAACTAATATGTCATAATTTTTAAATATTGGCAAAATCCTAAATCCCGATCAAAATGTGCCGAAAGTGCCAAATAGTGCCGAAACAGTTTGGGTTACACCACTAGTGGTAACACTGGATTTGCTTCCGTTGATCTATATGCGTGATGAATTCACGTCCCACTCCAAATATCATATAAACCATACAATTCGTGATTTCATCACTCCATTCCTGGTATGTCTCTCAACAATGTATTATATCTTGGGTGGGTTTGTGTACACCCATTTATGGTAACCCTTTATTACCGTAAAATTGGGAATTAATATTATTGTTGTGTATGCATATAGTTATGAAAAAAAGTTTTAATAATGAAGTGTCTAATTTAGTTAAAAGGCGATATTGCATCAACTAATAAAGTATCGATTAAATGACCAGTCGGTAAAACGAAACTTTTTAAAAGGAATTTATAATATAGTTAATACTAAGGTTCTGCAAGTTCCAGGCACGGGCACTATTAAAACATAGTGCCAGGCACAGGCCTGGACACCATTTTTAATAGTACGTGCCGGCACTCACAGAACCCTAGTTAATACAATTGAATAATTAAATGCCACTATAGTTGTGAATTGAACCGAATTTAAATGGATTTTGAATTTCATAGGGTTTTTAGGATTAGGGTGTAAGTTACTCTAAAAGTGTAATTTAATACATACTTTCTACTCTAAAAGTGTGATTTAATAAATAAATTCTACCCAAAAGTGAAATTTAATAAATAAATTCCAAATCCACTTAAATTCCGTTCCCACTTACAACATTACATTATCATTATGTTTGCATAGTTTGTGCTTAATAATAAAATTCAAGCTAACATTTAAGCATAAATAAGAGTTTGATTACTAAATACTCTGTGATATATACGTAGGTAATTGTTTACGTGAGTACATATATGTTGTCTAAAAAATGAGTATACTATAAAAGTTATTCTTACAATTTCCTGTAATGTTTAAATGTTTACTGATAACAATTATGGACAATCATTCATCTTGTCCCGCCAAAGTTTTGTCATATAAGGTAATATTCTCATTATATTCTCATTATGATGATTATTTTGATTCTAGATTGTCAAAATCCTAATTATAGATTCAATTACAGAATTAACGTTATTACGCTTAAATGAACAAATTCACAGATCAATATGCTATTAGCGTTAAGAATTTACCATACTATACGATATACAATATTTTATTTAGTGGATTTGCATAAAATTAACAATGCAAAACTACTTTTAATCATGAAACAAAGTAATTAACTGAGTTTATTTTACTATCACATTTAGTTTAAGAACTATGAAATTACTCAAAATGAACCGGAAGATAATACTAACTCCGGTTAATTCTAATAAATATAGTCTTCTTCTTAGTAAACTTTTTATTGTATCAAAAGTATTTATATAACTTCATAATTCCATAATATCGCAACATGACTCCTTGAAATCTTAACTTCTTACTATCATTTTATTTAATGGAGTACGAACAAAACCACACTGTAAATTTGGAGAATCCCTCAAATCACAATGGACAAGATGTACAAAATCATTCTAATGATGAAATAGAACAAGATACATCATCCACACAACAGCTTGAAACGGAAAGAATTACTTTACAGGATGGCAAGTTTATAAGAAATTGTCAAGTACCCCCTGGTCTTTTAGGGAATTGCAAATACATAGATCGAGAAGAATTCAAACATATGAGATATACTGCATGCACAAGTAATCCAGACGATTTTTTGAAAAATGGATTTACACTTCGTCAAGCTGAATATGGTAGACAAACTGAATTGTTCATCGTAGTTACTATGTATGATGTAAGAGCAATGAATTGCATTTATGCTGTTCATGTTAATAATCTATAAAAATTTTATAATTTAATAATAATCTCATAATGATCTTATAATGATCTTATAACGATCTTATAACGATTTATAACGACCTTAAAATAATCATATAATAGGAAAATGTAAACGAATTGGCCCGAACTTTTCATGGTATCGCGAAAAATATTGCATCTCTTTGCGCTAGAAGAAGCAGAACTTGGGTATATTATCTTAATTGCTTTTTTTGTAACAGACATTGCCTATTATTAAATATTTGTGTCTTATATTTTTATTTAAATTCCATAAGAATGAAGATTCTTGGAAAAAAATTGTAGTGTGCATAGTATCTGATGGCCGTAAAAAATTCAAACAAAGTTGCTTAGCTTATTTAACAATTCTTGGTGTTTATCAAGAAGGAATTGCAATCAAGAGTATAGATGATGTCAAAGTTAAAGCTCACATATTTGAATATACTACTCAAATTTCAATTAATAATGATTGGAAAACGATGACGGCTGTTGATGGAATTGTTCCAATCCAAGTGTTATTTTGTCATAAAGAAAAGAATGCCAAAAAAATTAATTCTCATCGATGGTTTTTTAATGCCTTTGGTCCAGTTCTTGATCCTAAAATATGCGTTCTTATTGATGTTGGCACTAGACCAAGTTAGTTATGCTCAGTGACTTTACTCGCTTATATTTTTTTAGATAATTTTACAGTATCTAACTTTATTAATTTTTTTAAAGGAGAAAATTCCATCTATAATCTGTGGAAAACATTTAGTACTCACCCCAATGTTGCGGGTATTTGTGGTGAAATAGTTGCCATGACAAGTTGGTTCAAGTTATTAAATCCGATTGTCGGTGCTCAATACTTTGAATATAAAATGTCAAATATTCTAGACAAGCCGCTTGAATCTGTTTTTGGATATATTACTGTTTTACCTGGTGCTTTTTCTGCTTACCGTTATATCGCTCTTCAGAACAATACAATTAATGAAAAGCCTGAAGGTCCTCTTGCCTCTTATTTCATGGGTGAAAAAGATGATAGTGACAATGTTAAAGAAATTATCCATGATAACAAATCTACTAATAACATATTCACTGCCAATATGTATCTTGCTGAAGATCGTATTCTTGCTTTTGAATTGGTTACAAAACGTGATTCGCAATGGCTATTACACTATGTTAAATCTTCTCAAGCTGAAACAGATATACCAAAAAGTATAGATAAATTAATTTCCCAACGTAGACGTTGGTTAAATGGTTCTCTTTTTGCAAGTCTTTACGCGGTTTCTCATTTTTATCATATTTGGAGAAGTGATCACTCTTTTTTACGCAAAATCCTTTTACATATTGAAATGTTATACCAAGCATATAACCTTTTCTTTTCATGGTTTGGTTTGGTAAGCATACAGCAAAAATTCTGTTCGATCAACTTTATTAATTATATTTACTTACTGTATATATATTTTTTTGTTTTTATTCCAGGCAAATTTTTATTTAACATTTTATTTAATAGGTAACTCTCTTTCCTCTCTAAAACAGGATCCAAATTCTTGGATTAGACCTTTTAGTGAAAAGACATTCATTATTCTTGGTTGGATTTACATTGCGCTGATCTGTGCACAGTTCATTTTTGCCATGGGCAATAAACCTAAAAGGTTAATATGCATTATTACTGCATTATTTTTTATTAATTATTATTCATCTTCTAATTTTTTTAAAAATATTTAGTTCCAAATATGCCTATATAATTTCATTGATATTTTTTGGTGTAGTTATGGCTTATACATTAATTGGTGGACTTTACCTTACCATCGAAGGTATCTCACACGATAAAGAATACAATTATAACAATATTTTATTACTTTTTAATGATGATTCTTTCAAAGGCATCGTCTTGACTTTACTTTCTACATATGGATTGTATTTGATTGGAAGCTTATTGATGTTTGATCCATGGCATATGCTTACTTGTATAATTCAGTATATTTTATTGGTACCATTTTATGTAAATATCCTAAATGTTTATGCTTTCTGTAATGTTCATGATGTAAGGTAAAGTAAACAAATTTTATCTTTTTAAATCAATTATCTATTGCATACACGCAGGTTAATTGTATATATTTTAAATAAAATCTATAGTTGGGGGAATAGAGAAGCAGATGATGATGATGAATTGAAACCAGTCACCACTCATGGGAATGACTCCTTGCAATTCACTACCATAGATACCGCTGACGGATACGAAAAAGCCAAAGATGCCTTACTAGCTTTTCATAGTGAAAATAAAGCTAGAAATATGAATGTACTAACCGAAGAAGAATATAGAAAAAGATTTCGAATTTACTTTGTACTTTTATGGGTTTTATTAAATGCATTATTAGTAACTATTGTCATAAGTATTAGTCCAACTTTACTTGAAACAACAATAGTTAATAGTATTAAAACAACAATAGTTAATGCTTATGTAAAATTTATTCTTTGGTCTGTTGCTGCATTAGCCGCGTTTAGATTTTTTGGTAGTTTAGCTTACTTTATTCTTGAAATACCAAAAACATTAAAATCATTAATTCCGAGGAGGAATGCTCCTATGGCTCCTGCAAATAACGTATAAAAATAACATTATTTATATATAACACTCTTAATTTTAAATTTATTTAAATATTATAGAAATTTTATTATTGCTTTTGATCGATATACTGCAAAGAAATTATATATTACCAGTATAATTGTACATACCATATAACTCGAATAAGAGTATACACATGATATTTAATTTAGTAATCTTCCTTACAAATCATAGTACGAAGAATAGTATTAGTGATATTTTAATAGATACACAAAATAAAGCAGAATTTTTAACTAGCAATCTTTCGTTATAGAATAATGTATGCGTGAATATTTACTGCTAATTCCATAGATGTTAGTTTTTGCCATCGACACAATCATATACTTTACAATATTTGATATAAACATGGCTCTTGCAGCCTTGAAACTCTAACGTTATATCGAAATGCTTTTTGAACCACATTACATGCTCACGTATATAAATGTTCACCATTCTTAAAATAATTTCTGCAAATAACTATAGTATAAGACATTAAGGATGCTAAAAATTTTACTTATAAAAATGAATTTGAGTGGCCAAATTTTTATAAAAGAAATCTGATTGGTTAAATTTTTTTATAATTAAGATTAATTTTTTTAAAATTGTGTGAAAGTTCTTAAGATAATAGTAATTTTAAAATAAAATAACTTTATTAGAGGTTGGGACCGGTTTTAATAATTCGGGTTGTTCGCATGAATTTTGTGATATTTTGGAATTTATTAAAATTTAATTGGATAAATTTCGAATTATTAAAAGTTGTTCCAACATCTAAACTTTATAATAAATAAATTTTTAAAAAAACTTTTATAGATGTATATTGCATCTAAGATAGCCACTTTCTATATATAAGTTACTTTATATATTTTAAGCAGCTATTTTTATATATAAAGTGGTTACCTTATATTGTATTTAAAGTAGTTACTTTATATATTTAATATAGCTATATATATAAAGTAGCTATTTTATATATTCTAATAGTTATTTAAGATATTTTAGATAGTTATTTTAGATAATTTAGGTAATTACTTTAAATATTTAATGTAGCTATTTTAGATATCTAAAGTAGCTACTTTAAATAGCTTAACCTTGAAATCTGAAGTAGTTACTTTAGATATTTAAAGTAGACTTTAAATATTTAAAATAGCTACTGTAATTATATAAAATAATACTTTAAATAGCGTGGTTACTTTAGATGCAACAGATTGCCTATTTTTTAAATATGATAAGTATTGACATATGCAAATTAATTAAACTTACAATAAATTTTTGTAATTATCTCATAATATTGATAGTTTTTAGCTTAATTTTATTTCTATAAAAAATAAAATTTAATATAATAATATATCTTATAAATTTTCTATCTAATACTGTAATATTAAAACATGTCAATTTGCCAATATAATTAAATTTTTATACATTTGTTGCAGATATGCTTTATAATAAATACTAAAGTTTATTTTATATGCATCAAAGAATACAGAAAATTTATAAATAATTTTTACAATTCAGAAAAAAAATTCGCTTAAAAATTATCACTACAAGCTAGGACAAAATGTATGTGTAAAACTTTGCATAAATTCAACACTATAAAATTTTGTTATTAAATTTTTGCGATCTGGTTGCTTGATTATGACTGACTAGGATCACCCCATATAAAATATAAACCAATTAAAATTATTATCTTAACATGACTTAAAATTTAGAAATAACTAAATATGATTTATTATAAATGTATTGCATAAAATTAATTAAAAGTCTAATATTGTATATGTTGTTACGAAAAATGTTGTAATAAATTAAAGTACACCTTTTCATTCGTAATATTTAGATGGCCAATTGTTATAAAATATTAATGAGACAAATTATAAGCTATTAATAAGAGATACGTATAAATTACAAAAAATTTTATACATATAGTCTAATAACTTATAAATTTAATATATTATAAAATGGTTAAAATATATTGGTACTTACATTCTAAATTATATAGTAAAAATAATTTATTAAATTGATGATAATAAAAATATCTAATTCTAATAAAAATAATATTTATTACCTAATAGTTTAATGTCTATGTAAATTATAAAGCCAAATAGTAGAAAAGCTCATATTAATAATTATAAAAAAATTCTACGAAACATTCTATAGTGATCAATCATTGCAAACTCTAACGTAAAACTTCTTATTCTGATTTTATAACAAATGCCCCTTCAGGACATACTGGTTTTGTGCATATTACAAAAGGTTCTTGTTGATAAAGACTATATATAACAAATCATACTGATAGTAATTGTCCATAATAATGTTTTTTATTTAAAAATATGTCATTAATTTATACTTACAATCTAATAATTTAAATAAAATCTGTTAATTATAAAAATTATTATTATTAAAAATAATTTATTAAAAACTACACTTACCCTTTAATTTAATTAATAATTTAATAATTTATTATAAGAATTATTGTATAAAAAATGCTATTACGTACTATATTTAAGATTTTAATTACAATTATCTAAAATTTTTTAATAAAATAAATTAAGGATTTATTAATAGGAAATTCGATTTTGATCTGGCTCAAAAATAACCCCAAAATTAAGGTTAATGCAGGTCATTGATGTCAGTTGGGTTTTTATATTTAAAAACCTCAGCTAGATTTGCGTTATATAAATTTCAATTTTATATTACATGAAATTTTATATAAGTCTCAAAAATCAAATTTCATGTAATTTCAATATGTTATACATAAAGTATCAGATTTATAAAAGCTTTAGCCAGTATTATTGCATCATTTGATTTGAATTACATTCTAATTGTAATTCATAAATTACTGAATCTTACACAAGATTAGGTAAATTTGCATAAAATTACTGAAATTTAACAACCCTAACCTTAGCAGCCTCAACTTAATTCTGGCCCACACTAACCCTAAATTTTAAAAGAGGTCATTTTTGACTCAGATCAAAATAGAATTTCTCTTTATTAATTAATAAATTATAGACTTTTTTAAAAAATAAATTATTTATATAGCACTTACTTATGCATACTTCTAGACCTTATAATTATAAGCACAAACAGAAAGTAAGCAACATGCTATTAAATTTATAAACACTACATACTACTTACATCTGATGAGTAAAATATGTCATAAATTGTTAAAAAGTAATTAAACATAAAATTTATGAAATATGGTAATTATTTAACAGAAGAACCATTGATATTACACTAATGATTTTTTACCCAATGTGCAATATATAAAAAAATTAATAGTGTAACATTGATAGTTCCTTCTGTTCAATTATTTACTAGTTATTATTAATTAATATCATGTATTAATTGCATGAAATTGATTTAAAAGAGATTATTAAATAACTTTTATGCTTATATCCTAAAAGTTGATTTAAAAAAATAATCTTAATAAGATACAATCTTAATTCAAATTTATAAAATAGGTCTCTAAAAAACAAAACCACATTACTATCATTAGAATTTATAACTTATATTCTAAAAAATAGACATTAATATTAATTATAGCTTACTTTATAAATGATTGTATATTATCTTCTAATAATTAATTATACAAAATATATTACAGTATGAATAATTATAATGTATTGTCATATTAAGCCTATTTTTACTAGTAGTTGACTCTCTTTTAGATTGATAATAATTGACTAAAACAGACTGAGATAAAGATAAATTATTAAATAAGGTTTTTTAGAATATATTTATTGCTTTTTGAACCTATAGTATAACTATTTCTTAAAGATATAGTAGCTGAAATAATTTGCTATGACTAAATTAAATCTTTATTCATATTTTTATTTGAAAATGTAGAAGCAATTCTTAGTAATAATACAGTAGATGAGATTGATTGAGAAGGTAAAACAGTTGAAACAATTATCTTATTTGAAGTCATATATTTTGTTATAATATCTATCCATAAATTAGGTTGAAGGATTTTCTGATAAAGTTGTATTTTCTTTAGAACATCTTTATAGTAATTTAAAAATATCAAATATATGTAAACAATTTTGAAGAATGGTTTTTAAAACTAAAAAATTCATATTAGACCATTCTTTAGAATCAGAATTTAGGTCAGAGTTCTGAACAATTCTCTATCTAATAACTTGATCCCAAATTTTGTATTCATCTATTTGTAAATTGTTGCGTTTCAAAAAGATAGCCAAAGCATTTTTTGAAATACTTATGAAGGCTTTAACATCAAATAGAGTACTTGGATGTTTTGCAATAATATCATTACAAAATTTTTGTAAAAGATTAAATTCATTATGTTTAAAACTTATTTTATAAACTTTAGTAAAATTGTAATATATTCAGAATGAATAATTCTTAACTAATTATAATTGTATTGTATTAACCAATTTTTAAGACTTAATTTATTAGCAGCAATCAAGAGGCCAAGAATTGCAGTCATATTAGTTTTATCAAAAATAATAGTACCAAAATAAATATATCTATATAATTTGATAAAAATTATTATACTTTAAATTTATTAATCAAAAAAATATATAGAAAGTACTAGTAGAAAAAGCAAGCAAATTGTTTTTAGAAAGTTTTTTTTAAACTTTTTAATTAAAATATCTTGACAACTATTAAGCCTAATTTAGTTTTTTTTAATTCTATAACTATATAAAATTAAAATAAAAAATTTTTATAAAGTTTAGATTAATAATTGATAATATTTTAGTTTAAAGTTTAAAAAAAATTATTTAAAACCAATTTGCTTAATTTCTACTAGCACTTCTATCTATATGTGCTTACTTGATAATAGTTTTAAAAACATTAAAAGAAACATGTAGTTTATAGATTTAATTAATATTTTTTTTTATTAACACTTGTCTTGTTCAGCTTGTTATAAAAATAAAAACATTGAGATATTAAATATGCTTTAAACACTTGACAGTTTAGTGTTTCACTAACTTCAATTAATATATTATAATCTTTTTACTTTTAAGAAGACCTGTTAAATTAATAGAAAGTTT